CTGCCCAAAACAGTTCCATAGATTTGGGCTGTGAGTTCGGTCTATTTCAGGCTGAAAAAACGACTAAGTCCCATCGCGAATGGGACTTAGTCTCTGCAGCTGAAATAAGGCTGAAAAAAACGGCTGAAAAAAAGACTAAGTCCCATGGCCGAATGGGACTTAGTCTCTGCAGCTGAAATAAGGCTGAAAAAAACGGCTGAAAAAAAGACTAAGTCCCATCGCCGAATGGGACTTAGTCTCTGCAGCTGAAATAAGGCTGAAAAAAACGGCTGAAAAAAAGACTAAGTCCCATCGCCGAATGGGACTTAGTCTCTGCAGCTGAAATAAGGCTGAAAAAAACGGCTGAAAAAAAGACTAAGTCCCATCGCCGAATGGGACTTAGTCTCTGCAGCTGAAATAAGGCTGAAAAAAACGGCTGAAAAAAAGACTAAGTCCCATCGCCGAATGGGACTTAGTCTCTGCAGCTGAAATAATTTCCCATTTACTGAACCAAGTGGGAAATAGCAAGGCAGGCACAAAGGGTTTGCACCAGGTCTGGGGACACAGGGGACACCGTCTTAAAGGGGCCGTGTCCCCAACAAGTCTGGGACACGGCCTTAAAGGGGCAGTGTCCCAATCTTCCTGATGTCCCAAAAAAGGTGTTTAAAGGGCCAGCACCAGTCACATAAAGAGTCCATAAGCCCCAATATGCCCACCGACAGTCTTAAAGGCCATACACACCAAATAAAAGTGCATACATTTTCACAATCTCCCAGGGGCCATAGTCATGCGGGAGGAGGCTGGCAAAGAGGCTTCTCCACAACCCAGGGAAACAGGGCAATTTGCCATTTAAAGGGCCCGTTACAAATAGCAGTTTGTAACAAGGTGTCAATCCATATCTCCCCAGTGACCCGATGTAGGGGGAACAGTCCCTATTCTGCTCTGTGTCAGTGTGTATCAGGGATCCTTAGGACAGGTGTCAATCCATATCTGCCAAGTGACCCCATGTAGGGGGACCAGTCTCTATTCTGCTCTGTGTCCGTGTGCATCAGGGGCTCTGAGGACAGGTGTCAATCCATATGTCAAGGTGTCAATATGTCATATGTCAGGTGTCAATCCATATTGATTGTGATTTAGGAATGTTAGGTGATTTCTGCCCTTTATGGATTAAACCCAGACTCTGTATCAACTGTGTAATTTTCCATGGGAGTTTTGCCATGGATCCCCCTCCGGCATGCCACAGTCCAGGTGTTAGTCCCCTTGAAACAACTTTTCCATCCCTATTGTGGCCAGAAAGAGTCCCTGTGTGTTTTAAAATTCGCCTCCCATTGAAGTCAATGGCGTTTCGGGCGGTTCGCCGGTTCGCGAACATTTGCGGAAGTTCGCGTTCGCCGTTCGCGAACCGAAAATTTCGGGTTCGCGACATCACTACACACTAACAGCACACACAGCAGTGTATGTGTGTGTGTGTATGTGTATATATATATATATATTTATATATATATATATATACACACACACACACACACACACACACGGCGTGTGTTTGTGGTTTAGGGTGCACACCCTAATGCAATAGGCTGCGCACGCCTATGAGTATAACCCCTTACTCCCCTAACCCCCAAATTGTAACCCCTATGCTCCACTACAGTCCCATTCCCAAATTGCAACCCCTATACTCCACTACAGTCCCTATCCCCCACTACAGCTCTTACTTTTCAATTATAGCCCCCATCATCTCACTGCAGCCCACTGGCAGTGCCCCTCCCGAAGTGAGATTTTGACAGAGGAGGTGGCGCAGTAGCTGGTGAACCTATCTTCCTGAAATGAGTTTTTGCATGTTAGGATGGATGACAATCAGTTTCTTAACATAAATTAAGTTCATGTTTGGCTTTAAGAAAGTGGCAGTTTTCCTTCAATGTTTGCTATTTTGAACTTTAAGGAAGCTGGTGCATGAGGGGTACAGTTTGTGTGTGGGTGGGCAGTGTGTGTGGGGTAGCAGGTTGTATGAGGGGTACAGTATATGTGGAGCAGTGTGTGAGTGGTACAGTTTGTGTGTATGGAGGAGCAGTGTGTGTGCATGGGGGTAATGGGGTAATTGTGTGTGTATGAGGGGCAGTTATTGTGTGGTGTGGGGTCTGAGGGAGTGGGAGGGCAAATTCATGAATATATATAAAAAAAATTTTTTAATTAAAAATAATTTTCATACCCCCCCCTCCCTGCTTACCTTTGCATGGGAGTGGGGACAATCCCTGGTGGTCCGGTGAAGACGCCCTGGTGGTCCCAGTGGTGAGAGTGAACTCTAGTAGCCTCATGAGCTTCACTAGAGTTCACTCTTGCGAGATTCGGAGAGTTGGCGTGGTAATCACGGAAACTCTTCAAGCTCACGAGAGGAGAACCCGGCAGAGCTGTGGGTTAGAGCTCCCCGGGTCCTCTCTCCCTCCCTTCACTGCCGTCTGCGGCATCCCACTGCTAGCGGGCCAGAGAGAAGGATCTCTGATCTCCCCGCCGGTCCTGTAGAACTGGCCACGGAGAGGGAGGCACAGTTCCCAAAGCACCAGGAAAATATCTTGCGGCTCCCCTGTGTGCACGTCGCGGTGCCACACAGTTTGTTATCACTCGGATAGAGGCGTGCCTGGATGTTGGAGGGCTCACTTGCACTTTAATAACCATTGCAGTGGTACTTAAAACCTATGTTAGTTAAATGTGCGTATTGATTTGAGATTGGGATAAAACTAGTTTTTTGGTTTAAAAAAACAAAACACACACACACACACACACACAATACAATATTATCAAAAACTGGAATAACAGTTGTATTCTGAAAGTAAACAGAACAGACAAATCATAACTAACGCAATAATCAGTATGGAACGAGAGAATCAATCTTACTCACATGATCCTGAGCCACAGACAAGCTGGTATGCTTGTCAGCCACTGTTGTGAAAGAGACGGAGGAAATGACATCGGCTGTAATTACGTTGATAATGGTTAACTGAAGTGACGAATGCAGATGTAAGCCCACGTGGCATGAGGGCGCTGATTTGCGAGCACGCCAACAGGATTTTTAAAGATGAAGAGGCTCCGAAGGCAGGACAATGCACACTGATAAAGACTATAAAGGTCGAAACGCGTTAGGACACTTTCTGATGGACCGGATGTATTTTATTTATTGTTCGCAAACACAGGGTAGTAGTAGCACCTTTTATTCCATACACTAGTTATTTTTCTTTCTTTTGTATATTATCATAGTTTTTTGTTTTTGTTTCATATATTTGTGCTGATTGATACTACACTATACAAATGTAGTGGGAGTTTGAACAAAGGACTTAGTTTTGTGTTTTTTTAATGCATAGAAAAAGCCTAAAATAACCCATATTTTTGCCGGATACTCACTCAATACAATGATAAATTGTTTTGATGATAACAACACTATATGAAACTGTATTACTGGTGCAGAGATATTAAAAAGAAATATCAAAGGCTGAAATACTACAGCAGAAGAATAGGTGTCTGTAGTGTACCTTTAAGAGAAAATATAATACCAAGTATCACTTCATAAGTACACAGTTTCAGTACACACTGAAAAGAGACTGCAGCTCCCAAAGGTAAAATTGATTTGTCAACTAAGGCCTTGATTTTATACATTGGGATACGTTGTGTAAATTATTTAAGATATTTGAATAAACTTTTAAAATGATTTCTTTCACAATATGATTTGAAAAATAATCTATGATGTTAAAAAAAAAACTATCAATATATTAACATATTACTTTTTATGTAAAATATTACATTTTAAAAATGTATCCAAAACTATTAAAATTATTTGAAAAAGTATCCAAAATTTTAAAAAACCAAGGCCTAATTTAATTATACACTTGTGTATCATCTACATTTCTCACTTAAAGGATAATAGAGCATTTAATGTGCTCAGTGTCTTGAGCATGTTTTAATGCTGTATACCCTTTTCTGCAACATATAGTTTTTTGCATTCAGGTTTGCCTATTTAAAGGTGACTTAGGACTGTTTGTATTTAGCCTTTGTCATGCTCTCGCCTGATTATTTTTTTTTCTGGAAAGGAAAGGAAGTTAGAATACAGCAGCAGATAAGATTTGTTTCCTACAAAAAATATTTATAAAAAAGGCCCACCAAGCAAAGTGCAGTAAACTGACACACACTGTATTGTGGAAAGAAGCTTGCAATTTGCAAAACACATGCAATGGCCGAGAAGCACACTGCAATTTAAATAATCTGTTTCTTGCTAGAAGTAAAAGTTTTTTTTTAAATATCAGTAAAACAATTCAAAACCAATTAATCAAAATTGTTGTGAATGATATTGACAGTAGCAACAAGGCAAGAGAATTTTATTTTGTCCTTTTATATGTTTTTTTTTTTTTTAAATTTAATTTGATGACTGTCCCTGTCCATCCTGTCTCTGTCGACTACTGGTGCTATCCACATTACCCTTACTCTGCTGCTGGTGGAAGTTAGTTGTGCATAAACAGATACAGTACCAGTGGACTTGCTGCCTTCCCCAGTACTTTCGGTTTCTTCTTCTGCTCTCATTAATACATATTTGTGGTGTCTTTATATAGGTTGGTTCATACTGCCACTAGTGAGATGACCCTTTACTCTTTCCCTACTCATTTGCTTTTCACACAATTTGCACTTTGCAAGTTGATCTTCTGTGAGGCACTCAAAGTTCCAAACTTGGCCTCACCACAATGTATTAGCCTCAACCCTTCATCTTGTGGATGTGAATGAATGTGCATCGGGGGAAGTGGAAGCACAACATAAGCATGTACCCTAGCACATGGATGAAAAATTGTAATGGAAATGTTCAGGGCTGCCATCAGGGGGTGACAACCATGACGGGCCCCACATGGAGCAGCGATGTGGGCATTAAGCATTAAGGGCCACCCGATGAGCCCTATATCTTCAGGGGCTCGGTCAGCGCTGTAATTGCCGGTCACTTCCTCCCACCTTACTCCGCGCGGGAAGGAGGAGAGACAGCTGACGCCCATCATCCCCAAAATGAGGTGTGTGTATGTATATATTTATGTGAGTATTTGTCTGTCTGTATGTATGTGTATGTATGTATATATATATATGTATATATGTATATATATCAGTATGTGTGTGTGTCTGTATTCCCACGTGCACACACACACTTACACACTGACACAGACACACACACATATATACACACTCACAGACACACATACACTCACAGAGACACACACACACACATACTCAGACACACAAACACAAATAATTTTTTTTAAATTAAAAAATGTCCACCCAGCCTCCCTACCTGGAATGCTGGCGTGGACTTGTCCCTGGGGTCCAGTGGGTTGGGCGCCTGTCTCCATCTCAGCCACGGCGAGGGAGCTGTGTGCTCTCTGCTCCCTCTCCCCGTGCCCCATTTGCTGATGCAGGGAGCCGGAATATGACGTCATATTCCGGCTCCCAGCTACAGCAGACAGCCAGCCCACGCGGCAAGAGGGAGCAGAGAGCACACAGCGACCTCGCCACAGCTGAGATGGAGACAGGCGCCCGACGGGGGGTACATGGGGGAGGAGGGCATTTGGGGGTGGCAGAGTGCCTGCAGGAACAGTGGGAAAACCGTTCCCACGCATTCCTGCAGGACTCACAGGCATGCCGGCACACCCCGTGCGCACGCCTATGTGTATAATACATATGAATGTGGGCTGTGTATGAGGGCTGCTTGTGGAATTGTCTGTTTGGGGTATTGCATGTGAGAGGCTGCATGTGCGGTTTTGTGCATGTATGTGGATTGTTATTGGTGTTGCATTTGTGTGGATTGTGTGTTGTGTGTGGCCTGTTTATATTATTTGTATGAGGGGAGGGTTATTCTGCATTTCTGTGTATTTCTGTTCCAGTGGGGACCAGACTGGCCAGGTACAGGTCAAGAACAGGAGCTGCAATAGATGTCGAGGGCTGCTCTACTACAGTGTGGATTCCCATTCACAAGTGATGGGAGGAAGTGATCTGAAATCACTTCCTCCTAGTGCTACAATGCATAAATTGAGGATTGTCCTTCACCACCTCTTCGTATTAGCAGATATCTGAAGTTTTACTGGGACTCCTGATAGGTCAGAGTGCGTTTGGCTCTAGCAGCCTTGAGTGCTGTGCAAAGACACCTCAAGTGCCGTGCATGGCACTAGTGCCGTAGGTTGCCTACCCCTGCTGTAGGGTTTGAATAATGAAATTGAAAGTTGAAAAACTGTTTTTTTGTTTGTTATTTTTTAGCATCCCTAAAGAGATTTGAATGTGTACATAAATACATCATGGATACATGTCACCAAAAAAGTAAATGCACTTAAGTTGTGTTGGTGTCAAAATTGTGCCTGCAGTGTGCTTTTAATGAATGAGTTGTTCTAGAAACCTGTCCCAAAACATTGTAAACATTTTAGTCAACGGATTCTTTGTAAATTATTCTTGAATTGTAACCTTGTCTTGTATAGATAATTGGTAATCATTTATGCTGTAGCAAAACAAGGGGAAAATAAC